CTCACGACCTCGGTCAAGATTCTCCCATACAGACCTCGATTTAACTCGCGACGAAAAGCTGCCCAAATTATTCGAAACAGAAACAACGGCAACGACAACACAACATGCAACGATAGGCCCAGGAAGTTGAAACAATATGGTCGCCTTTACTTCAACGCTCAAACGACAAGTCACTCGAACTCTGCTTCCCTTGCACACGAACAACGTGAACCAGCATTCTATCAGGTCGCCATAATGCGCCCAAGTACTTAGTGTTTCCCCTGTTAGTGTTCGGTCTTCCCGATATAATACGATGACAGTACGATATAACACTCGTGACGATTCATTTCTTCGGGAAATCCCATGGGACCTCCGAAGTTTTACACTCGGGATGGTTTAACACGGAACCGTTTTCAACAGATTTTCAACATGGCTGTTTAATGCGCATGCGCATTAAACACAAACAAGGGCTTACTCGGGGCAAACCACATGGTAGACTTTCTAAAAGTCCTTTCCAATAATTCATCCCTGGCCTGTTGGTTTCGCCGTTGGAAAGGACTTTTCCCACTTGCAGCGCGAATTCGCTCGAGGGAGATAAATAAGTTAAGGATTAAGAAAAGGTCGACTTCCAGCAAGTCTAACCACATGGCTGCTGGTCTTCCCAGAATTAGCAAAACAAATGGAAAAAACGCAAGTCACACGAGATAACAATTTCCCTTGAAAGTCGTTCTTATAATTGTCATTCCTTTAGTTACGACAGATTAATCATTAATGTAATCAATAATCATGGCCAATTTAGATCACTGCCTTAATATATGTAGTTTACTCAAGATTTACTCAATCACCAACAAATTACTCCCCCATTATAATGATGTTGTAAGTATTATCACCAAAGATCAGCGAGATAAACCAGTCCTTTGGTTTCGTTAATTTTTATTATCACTTTCTTGCGTCTTTGCAGTCAAAGTATCGGGACTTCCGAGTCACATTGTTGTGTAAAGGAACAAAGGTGCATTTTTTTTTTCTCTGAGCGATTTTTTTTTGTTGATATCAAAACCTGTAGTCCATCATATATCTCAGTTCGCTCGCGCACGGCTGGTCTAATCGCGTCACGTGACTGGATATTCCCCAGCTAAAACTGAGGAGTATCCGAGTGGCATTTCCCCAATTTTCAAAACGGCTCGTGTTGCGAAAAATAATTGAAGGCTAATAAACACAATAGCCTCCATTTGGCGCGAAAATATGCTCGAATATTTGTCCTTGGCCATTATCTGTTCGTCAAGGGACACAGTGTATTCGAACTACCGCTGTCGGAAAGCTGTTCGCTATACTTGAATAGATGTTAAAATATCAGTATCGTGACAACTGAATTTACTGACTAGTTTCCGAAGGTTGTGACCTCGCAGTGGTCTCAGTCTGTCTCTTAGACAATCGACTTACTGAGCATTATTCACAACAAAACAAGCATAGCTCAGTAGAACCTGATAGATATGGAACAAAAGCGTGTCGGCGAATTCCCTTATTTTAAATACTTTTCTCGTGGCGGCCTTTAACGCAACAGGTTACGCGAATTTTTCGATAGTCGAACTTGACAGATCTATAAAAAGATAACCAATAGAAATAAAAGAAAATGCTGACACGTTTTTGGAGATTGAGACTTTGTGATTAACACTGCACAGTTATTTTGCATGAACGATCGCATTTGATACCCGATTAATTCGCTGGAACGTCAGTCAGTCATTTTGGAGTTGACGGCCTCTGCCGCCTTTGGAAAGCAAAATCCAAAGCAAAACATAATTTTATCGAATTCTACATTTTATAACCTTTCTATTGATATATAGTTTGTGAGGGTTGCCTTGAAAACAGCGCGCGTACGAATTTTTTTCTGAAGTACACCCGCGAAGGTTTGAAGTAACCTTAAGGTGAGCTGCTTGCGATGGACGCCTTGATACTGTTAGTTATTTAGTTGAAAATGGGGCCAATGTTAATGCACCTAACGCGTTTCATCATAACCCATTGATAATAGCATGCTACAATGGGCACATGAACGTTGTCACCTATCTTGTCGAACGTGGCGCAAATGTGGATCTTCAAGACAAGAAAGGAAATACAGCTCTGCACGGAGCTATTTACAAGGATCACTTTGAGATTGCTAAAGAATTGGTAGCTCTTGGGGCGTCCCAGTTGCCAAATATTCAACGTTTAACACCTCCACTTCTTCTGGCGAGTACTAAGTGTAAGATTGACCTGATGGAGTATTTTATAAACGGGCCAGAATCTACAAAGGAACATGTACAGAGAATTGAAGGACTCGGGTTTCTTGGTGCCACTATTGCCAAGGAACCTAATGTTTTTGACATCGAGAAAGCAATTTTTCATACATGAAGCGTGGCATGGAAGAGAGGGTTCAAGAAAAATCCTGCGCCCTTCTTAAAAACCAAATGGAACCTCTTGAAGTTTATCAGGTAGAAAAGAGAGTCAAACTCTTGAAGAACTTGTTCTGTTAGAAGGAGATGATCATGCCATCCACATGGAGGGTCTTATAATCAGAGAGAGAATCCTTGGAACTGATAATACAGAACTTCCCTTCCAATCAGATACCGTGGTGCGGTTCTTGCTGACTCAGAGAACTACGAACTAGGCATTGGTTTGTGGGAACATGCAATGGAGATAGGTCAACGTTGTAATGTGTCAGTCACAAAAGATTTAGAAATAATGGCAGACTTATTTGGCGAAATGGTGCGAAAGAAAGCGCCTTTGAGATCAGAGTGTGTAGACGGAATGTTTGAAAAACTGGTTATAGAATTTGAAAGACACACAGAAAAGTTGATGTCCAGTACAACGAAACTGGAGGAACATGAGGCCAATTTGTTTAGAAAAACTGATTTATTGTGCTCTGTATCTATTAATGATACACACCAAAGTCCAAGTTCTAGAAAGTAAGAAAACCACAGCCATTTTTGCTCATGGATGACGTAAGTCATTCCATGAGCTTAGAAGGCAGTCGAATTAGTCGAATGGCACTCACTCACTCACTCGATTCTGATTAATTGCTGCCGATAGGCAGCGTTCATATTCTTGAAGGCATTTGAGAAGTTTCGTTGGTTCGTTGGTTC